ATCACAAATCACAATTTGCCTCACAGGGCTTTACAGCATACGACATCCCTCTGTCCTTATGACCCTCACAGCTGATCAGGAAAAACTCCCCAAAAAAACCCTTTAACGGGGAAAAAAAAACGGTAGAATCTAATGCAATCCAGTAGAACGGCTATACCATGAGATTCTCCCTGAAGCTTATAAATTTTCGGTTATTGTTGGCATTGTCTAGAAAGTGATGATTCTACTTTGTTTATTATTGAGGTCATAGTGAATGGTGGTGGTGTAGCCTCCTAATTTTGTCTAATTAAGGGGGATAAAATATTAGGAACACTTTTCAATATATTGCACTCCAGTACACCAGCACCACCCACTACGACCTCAATAATAAAGCAGAATAATGTAATTTCATTTTCTTTTTGTATTCTTTGTGTTTTCAAATACTCCAAATGTCTAGACCTCTTAACCTCACACCTAGATACAAAATCCTGCAGGATACGCCAAGTGTGAAACACACCTGTTTTGATGACGGGAGTAACTGCACTAAACATACGCTGTTTGAAATCACTCCGCCCAGCAAGTACTGTATGTCTGGAATGTAGTTCGGCTGTGCATTTGGCTTCAAAATAACTCTGTCTCGTAATATTACATTATTATTTCATAGCGTGGTGAATGTGTAAGCTACAAGTTGTCCACTAGAGCGTTTTGGAGTCATTTGGTGGTGTATTTGATTAGTTTTGAGGGAGAGAGGGGGCCGTACCATTCACCTCCATTTTGTGGGCCGAGCAGCGGGCAGCTCTGCCCCACCGATCTCAGAACAGCAGGCACTGATAATTAAAGGTAATGTACCTACTCATATGACTATAGGGATTACGGCAATAGGCGAATTTGCCAAAATGTCAAACTATCCTTTAACATCAATGATCAGAGGAGCAGCTGGTCGACTGCTGCCTCCATCAGTCCATCAGTCTGTATGTCACTGTGTGACTGTGGTGAATCTGAATTAACCCTTTAAACACCAGTCACACACTAACACACACAGTCTGATGGAGGCAGCAGTCGACCTGCAGCCGACCAGCTGCTCCTCTGATCACTGAGAGCAGCTTCAGTTTCCTGTCACATCACAGTGTGACATCAACCTGTTCAAACATCAACACATCAAACACTTAAACCATTTAGACTCCGCCCACTGCAGGTCACTCCAGCGCCACCTTCAGGTGAGACGTCATCACTGTCCACACTCTGAGAGCCGTTCAGCTGCAGTGACGTCTGCAGCCTGTAGGAGGTGCTGACAGGAAGTGACTCTGTTTCCTGTTGGACCTGTGATGGACTCACCAGAGTTTGGTGTTGTGACGGACGGAGACCTCCGGCCTGAACTTCCTGTAGGGGGCGTTCTTCACCATGCAGTCCACAGACTCCAGCAGCTCCACCATGGTCAGGTACTGCAGAGGACATGAGACGTCAACAGCACCTGTCTCACCACCTGTACACCTGTCTCACCACCTGTACATCTGTCTCACCTGTCCAATCACCTGTATACCTGTCTCACCACCTGTACATCTGTCTCACCACCTGTATACCTGTCTCACCACCTGTACACCTGTCTCACCACCTGTATACCTATTTCACCACCTGTACACCTGTCCAACCACCTGTACACCTGTCTCACCACCTGTATACCTATTTCACCACCTGTACACCTGTCTCACCACCTGTATACCTATCTCACCACCTGTACACCTGTCCAACCACCTGTACTCCTGTCTCACCACCTGTACATCTGTCTCACCACCTGTACACCTGGCTCACCTGTCTCACCACCTGTACACCTGTCTCACCACCTGTACACCTGTCTCACCTGTCCAACCACCTGTACACCTGTCTCACCACCTGTACCTCTGTCTCACTACCGGTACACCTGTCTCACCACCTGTACACCTGTCTCACCACCTGTACATCTGTCTCACCACCTGTACACCTGTCTCACCTGTCTCACCACCTGTACACCTGTCTCACCTGTCCAACCACCTGTACACCTGTCCAACCACCTGTACACCTGTCTCACCACCTGTACA